GTAGTTCTGTCTCTGTCATCTTTGCAAAGCATCTGGCTCTGACCTTCGCTTGGTGTCTCAGAGCTCTTTGATGAAAACAGGAGTTTAGGAAGATCATTGCAACAACCTGCATGGACGTAATGCTTAAGGAGCAGTAAGTTGAGAAAAGCCAAGTCCCAGCAGCAATGCTGAGTTGGTCAGGTCTTCTCCAAGTGCTGTTTTCTGTCCCTTTTTTGAGCATAGCCAAATATATTACTTATTAAATGAGGACCTCCAGACAGGCTGAACACCTGCCCTGTCAATGTTGCTCTTGGAGGCTTAAAGAAACCCTCTCAACCTAAAAATCTAGTTACTTCAAGTCCTGTTAGCTCAAAACCCACCTGAACACGTTCCTGTGTAACCTGCTCTAGGTGGCCCTTTCATGGCAGGGCGGGTGGACAAGATGATCTCCAGAGGCCCCTTCCAACCCTAATGATTCTGTGACTTAAGCAGCCTTGCTGAAGAAATGAGGCCACGCAGGTGCACAGAGCTGAGGATGGATGGATGGATGGTTTTGGTTGCTGTGTGTAGGAGAGAGGCTAACACACTCTCCCGGTGGAGCAGGATGGCCTGTATTGGGGAGCATTGGGATCATTCGGATGCAGTGCTTTGCCCACCTCCTGTCAGCCTTCAGACAAGTCACCTCCTTGCATCTTGGTGCTTAGTCAGAAGAGGGCTCCCACCATCTTCTCCTCACCTCCTCTTTGCAGCTGGACACACATTTTGGACCATTTTATTAGTGTCTGTAGGCAAGACTTCGTGCAGCAAGAATTCACTATGCCAGATTGGGGTAGAAGGAACAAGCAGCAGTAATGCAGAGGGCAAGAGGCTTGTGCCACTGCTGCTGGTAGCTGGCATTTCTTCACAAGTGCTGCAGATGTGATGGGAGCAGGAACGTAAATGCTTCATCCTTGCAAACTTGGTGCTTTGTAATCCAGGCAGACATTCATGCTGCACCTGCTGCCTGCATCATCCTTGCATGGGCATGGATTGTGAAATCAAGGAAACAAAAAAGACCTGCTCTTTCTAAGATGAATTGCCACATCAATGAGCTTCCCACGCCCTTACCAACAAGAAGTAGCTGCCATGGATTAACTTTGCAACAGTTTCTCCTGGGGGCTGCGAGATCTGGGCTCTCATCATTTTTCTAGAAAATTGTTTGTGCATCTGTTGAAACGCTTTCTGCGTACAGACACTATGAGGATAAAACGGGCAACGTTGCCTGTCAGCAATTGCCTCTTCTCCTGCTGTCCAGCTCTGCCTCCTGGTCTGAAACCTCTGATTTGAACCTGCCTGTTCTTGCCCAGTCAGGGTTGTCCAGCGCAGGTCAAGGCTGCTGTGTGCAGTGGATCCTCACAGCGTGTTGCTGTGCCATGAGGATGGTGACAGAGGGACCAAGCCTGATCCACTGCCACTGACTTTGCAGAGCCAGCAATCAGAGCATGGATCAGAGCCGATACAAGTGGTAAGGAAAACACAGAGAGAATGGGACATCCCTTAAGCTACTGTGCTCTGGTCCATAGAAAGCTTTCGTAAGGACAAAGAGTGCTTTGGGGTGGCTGTCTCATGACATAGAAGATAAGCATCAGCAGTGACTTGTTCTTTTCATGAGTGAGAATACCCTAGTGGAATCTCCCCAGAAAACTCCTCAGATCATCTTAAATCAGATGCTTGCCAGCCAGTCATACCTGGGGCACTTCCAGGCTGTGAAAGAGGTTTCTCTTCATAGGAGAGAAGTTGTGCCATCTTGGCTGAGCAAAGACGGAAAATGGGAGTTAGGAATGCCACCTCTGCTTGAAAATTAGTGTAAAGAAATAAAGGAGATTAGTCCCTTAGTATACCTTGCTTATCATTAGTAGCTAGATGTGCTGAAGCCTCAGGCTGCAAATTGTGAACTTTCACATAGGTACACTGAGGTTTTTACCTACTGAAATAGAGCGACCTTATCACTATATTCCAGTATTTAAAGGGTGGCTACAGAGAAGATGGAGACTCCCTTGTCTCAAGGAGTCACATGGAAAAGATGAGAGATAATGGGTATGTGTTACTCCTAGTAGGATTCCAGCTGTACACAAGAGGAAAATTTTTCACGATGAGAACAATCAGCCATTGGAATAATCTGTCCAGGGAAGTGGTGGATTCCCCAACACTGGAAATTGTAGGATTCAGCTGGACAGGGTCATCTTGTCTAAACTGTGCTTTTGCCAAGAATCGTTGGAGCAGGTGTTCCTTGAGGTCCCTTCCAACTTGGTATTCTATGATTCTGTGATTCTATGATTAAGTAAAGGAGGCCCCAGAGCCAGTTCATTCCAGAAGATAAGGAAGCAAGGACAGCCACTACCCCTGTCAGCAGAAGCTGCAGCCTTATAGATAAGAGAAGAAATGGTCCACTCAGAGACTTTGAGATACCCAATGGAGAACAAGAAGGCTCCAGACCCTAATGTTATTGTTGGACTGAACAGTTGCATGAGGCATAGGAAACTTAGATTGTAAAGGGACTTCTTGGTTTGGGGTCCCTCTCTGGAGGCACCCAGCTCAAGATATTTCTAGCACTGTACTACTCAAATAAATTGCATTCTTGGATTTAAAGCCTGGGACTCTGCTACAGGATACCTAAGGTGGAGAAGCATCGTTAACAATTATGGAGAGGGAGATGCCCCTCTGGTCTTCTGACTCTGATCTGCATCTTTGCGATGTGCCAGCATAAAAAGGTATGAAAGAGCAAATGCAAAAGGGAATTATTCTGCTTCCTTCCCTCACAGATGAGAGCTCTCCCAGGTCAACAGCAAGCCCAAAGATAAGAGCAGAGGGAAAGATGCGTAGCAGAATATGAGCAGGGTAAACAGAGGTGTCTCTGGGAAGAGGCTGTTACAGAAGTTCATTCATTTCAAAAGAGTAAGCAGAGAGTTGCTATACAGCTAACTTCAGGGGTTGACCTGACTCAGGGAATCAGCATTTTACTGGTTTTGAGCCCTAAACCAAAACTGAACACCAGACTATGCTATGTTTGAGACTGGTTTTACTCTTCCAAAGAGAAGATATACTTTCTGTATAATGCTGTGGAAATTGGGGCACTTGCTCTGTAATTCCAGTATATGGAGGTTGCTACTTCAAGTGGCAGTATTGGTGCTGGTCACAGCCTTACATCAGGATGTCACTTCAGGAGTCTGTCAGCTCCCCCTCAGGTTAGAGTATCCCAGTTGTTATTGTCAATGGTCCTGGACAGACCTGTCAGCCCAGCCTGTTGTGAAGGTGTGCAGTGCTTCCCAGTGAAACAGCCTGGCTGTAATTGTGTGCAATTTAACTGCTTTCCAAACCATTCATGCTGAAATTTTGAAGACCAGGCCTTTGCTTCAGGCAGAAGAGAGTTTTATTTAATTTTCATGGGCAATTTCTGCAAAGTATGATCAATCTCAATTTTCAAGAACAAGGAGGACAAATCAATTGTTTTACTTCTAAGCTTAAAAAGCTCTTGTGAACTTTCAGAGAACTCATACAGTCCCCATGTTTAGAAGCACTGGCTTGCAGTGTTTTTAGTTTAGTTTAGGTCAAACAGCAGAGGTCTGTGCTGTGGACCTCAGACATCTGACCCCACCAATAATAGGTGGTGTATTGAGTTGGCATTAATCAAAGCTTAATTTTCCCTGCACTCACAAAGCTGCTTCTCCACTTTCTGGGTTGCCTGTCGTGTCCTCTTCTGGTGCTTGGCTGGGTTAAGTGGTACTGGGGGCCTTCTCACCTAGCAAACCACCAGACCTACCTCCACTCCCTGCAGGAGACTTGGGCACCTCATCTTCTTGTGCATTGCTTCTCCTTGGGGATTGGGTGGTCGTTCCAAGGGTGCCAGGCTTCTGTTGTTCATACAACTCCCAGGCTAGCAGAGTGCCCTGATGGTGTCCCAGTGCACATTATTCATATGTTCACCCCATGCTTGAGGTTCTGTTTCCCATCTGCTTGGGTCCCTTGCAGTCAGCCTGCAGACAGGGTGTCCTTACTGAGGGTCTCAAGATACCTTGCAAAGAAACATGCTGCCTTAATCTTCCCCTCTTTCTCCTGTGGCTGTGAGGGGAAGCTGTTTATTTGAGATGCAGGACTGGGGCTGCTGTAAATAGCTCTCTGCTTTGGTGAACTTGCTGTGTCAAAGAGGGACAGCTTTGTGGCAGGCGATGAAGGCTAAGCCCGTGAGTGAAGATTAGACCAGCGAGTGCGGATTATGGCATTTCTACCTGGACTCATCCTTAATTCTACCTGATTTAAAATAACATGCAGTGGCAGTAGCGGTGATGGGTAGGGAGGACTCATGGTGGGCCTGCCAAGTGGACCTGGAGTTTGGCACATGAAATCCATGCCAAAGGTTTGAGGGTGTTGGTGTAAGGGTCAGTAGGCAGAAGGATACGTGGTGTCATGGGCAGGGCTGATGGAAAACTGTGGGAGATGGGGAGAGCAGGAGCCCAGCAGAATGGAGCTGCAGAGCAAGCAGGGTTGTGGACTGTGGGAGCGTGAATGGGGAAAAGAGCATAGTAGCTGAATAGATAAAATTAGTGAACAAATGCGTGGTAGAAACAATGAATTCCTAGAAGGGAAAGGAGTGGGTGGGAGAATTAAGTGCAGACTAAGAGGATTTCCACTACTTGGAGCCCTTCATCCGTACCAAAACCATATCCCAATTTACACTCCATGTTGCCTCCCTGTGTGTCTGTGGGAAGCCACCCTTACTGCAGACTGTGACTGCTTTACGTTGCTTTAGATCAGATGAATAAAAATTCTCAATCTAAAAGTGTCCTATTTTAGGTTAATCCTCAGAAATAAAATGAGACCATCTCCCCAGTAAATTCCTCATGGCTACAGCCCAGGCAGCAGGATATGAACTCAGTGGAGCCTGTGAAGGGTTTCTGTCCCCTGCAGAGCTCTGCTCCTTTGTGCTGGTCCAGACAGATGGGGCTTGCCCTGACCTATCTCCTGCCTCTCTCCCTCCCCACCAGGTGTTCTCCATCGTGGTGTTTGGCTCCATTGTCAATGAAGGGTACGTGAACCGCGCGGACGAGACACAAGAGCACTGCATTTTCAACCGCAATCGCAATGCCTGCAACTATGGCATTACAGTGGGTGTCCTCGCCTTCCTCAGCTGCCTTCTTTACCTGGCTCTGGATGCCTACTTCCCGCAGATCAGCAGCGTCAAGGACCGCAAGAAGGCAGTGCTCTCGGACATCGGAGTCTCGGGTGAGCTTCCTGGCCAGTTGGCCATAGTGCCCCTCTCCTCCACTGGCAAGGGAGAGGAGGGAGTTTCTGCTACCCTGCAGGTCAGGTCCCTGCTAGCAGGGAGGTCTTTGAGTTCCTTCCTCTTTCAAGAGGCTTTCTTTCTGTTTTCTTCCCCTTTCTCTTCTCAGCCAATCTGGCTGATGCCTTACTGCTGTGAGGCTTAGGTCAGGGAACCCTTTAGGATCAGCAGGTCTTGCCTCCCTGCGTGCTTGTGCTTGCTAAGGCCAAGTGTTAATACCTCTGGAGATGGTACTTCCTTCTTTTTCAGCTCCAGGTGATTGAACCCTATATATTTTAACATAAAAAAATGTTGAGGGTTTCATGCAGACTGACTAAACCAGTCCTCCTAGGTTATGTGGCATTCCCCATGTAAATAGCTGTGCGGGACCACATCCAGCCCTGAAGCTTACTAGCAGTCAGTACTTACAGTGAGATCTCTCCATCCCCAATACTGTGTTGAAGTGACAGACAGAGCCATGGTGCGTGTGTACGTGCATGTGTAACACCAGTCAGCAGCATCATGAGGAGGTGCTTTGTTCTCATGCTGTGATCCCGAGTTACTCTCCTGGCTTACTGCAGCCATATAGGCAAATTTCTCCACATTAGGCTGTCCCCCATCCTAGTTTTTCAAAGGGGCCAGGAGTGGAGTGAGGACAGGATTGGGTGCAGCACCTAGACTTGTTTAGGATTTCTGGCTTGCAAGTTTGTTCATGGTTAACCCCTTGCTGAGGAGTCCTGTGTACAGCTAACAGGAGGAGGGGAAGGACTGAGTCCTGTTTTGCTGCCACTTAGGATTGCCCGTTTCCCTCGCTGCCAGGTACCTGTCTGCACCTGGCAAAGAGGATGTCCCACTCCTCCCATCTTCACTGCTTTCCCAGGGGTACAGCATGTTAATGATCCTTTAGCACCTTTCCTCAGTGTGAATTGATATGGAGAAAACTCCCCCCCTGTGCTGTCCTGAGCAAAAGCTGGTCTCTGTGCAACTGCAGGCTGGCTCCTTCCCACTCTTCTGCAGCTCCCTTGGAAGGAATTGCTCTTTGCTCGTCCTTGCAGCACAGAGCTGCAAAGCAGTGGCTGTTTCAGAGAGCCCAGGTGATTGCTTCTGTAGTGGAAGCCCTTCAGGCTCCCTCCCAAGGCCACATGCAAGTCCTGTGATCAATCCAAACACAAGCAAATGAACTCTCCTGAGGTACTCTCTGCAGACACCTATCATCACCTTGACAATTTAGCTGTCAGCTCACATGCCAGCTCACTTGAGCTTAGACAGGCTGCACAGTCAGAGCTTAGCCCAGTCTGCAGCACACTGGTGGGTCTCAGAGTTGAAGTTTTCAGAGACCCCTGTTGTGTTTATGTTCTGTTCACACATACCTTCTTGATGTCTCTCCCTCTCCCCTTTTGCATGCTGGTGGTCATCCAACCCAGCTTTTTGGGCATTCCTCTGGTTCGTTGGCTTCTGCTTTCTGACCAACCAGTGGCAAGCATCAAAGAAAGAAGACAACCCAATGAATGAGGGAGGGGATGCAGCCCGAGCAGCCATCACATTCTCGTTCTTCTCCATCTTCACCTGGGTGAGTACAGCAACCTTGATGTTGTATCAAGTGTCCTGTGCACTGTATTAGCTTATTGGGAATGGAAGATGACTATCTAAGAGTGATTGCCTCTGAGATCTCAGTTCACATGGCTTCTAAGAAGGAAGAGAAGGGGGAGACGCTAAGCAGAGAAGGGAGTTCCAGGTCTGTGGATGCACCCATCTCCCTTCCTGCTTTGCTCCCATCACACGAAAAGTCATCAGTGGCCACAAGAGGCTGCAGTGGGAGTCCCTCTAGGCTCTCCATCTACACCCACGCTGCAGCACTGCCTTAGGATCCACACTGGATCACCTCTTAGGAAGGTCACGGTGCTGTTTGCCCTTTCCCCAGCAGTTCTGTATTGCTAGTTCCCTGGAAAAATGGTGTGTGATATAAACATCCCCCACAGTTTCCTCCCATCTCTGAAAGCATGAAGCCCACATGATTTTTGTCCAAAGTCACAGGATAGTGCCAAGCAGAAAAATATTTTAGGCCAGTCTCTATGCATAAGTCCTTGTGCCTTTATCTTCTCCTCTCCCTACAGGCCCTAACATTGTTCAGAGGCCAGGTAGGGAAGATGCTGTAAGACTATGAAGCTGTCAGAGGAAGGGGGGCTGCAAAGGGTTTTGTGGTCAGCAGCCTTACCAACGTGACACCAAGCAGAGGGAAGGACAGCAGCATGCGTGTAGGTCCCCTGAGCTGTGCCCCGCACTCAGGTGCTGCTGAAAGCCTCTTGCAAGCTCCAGCAGAAAGTGTGACAAGGAGCAAGGCTTTTGCAAGAGGTCTCTCAGGACCCTTTTGGAGATGCCACCATCTCCAGTGGTCTTCCCTGATGCATGAGCTTGCAAGTGGATAAATAGGCGTCCTTTTCCCCCAGATCCTTGGGGGTTTTATTTCAGTCAGACATTCTGGTTTGCTCTTCCTGATTATCCTTCCCACACCCCTCTCTCTCCTCACAGGCCTCCCTCACATTTCTGGCTTTCCGGAGACTCAGAGACATTACTTTTCAGGAAGAGTACAACACCCTGTTCCCTAACTCCCCATCCTTGCTGCCTTAGCGCCCCTCACTGATGGGGGAATTTAGGGGAAGGGATGGAGGGAAGCAGTTGGAGGAGGTTACTGAGCAGACACAGTTCCAATGCCCTGACCATCGGAGTGTAGTCACTGTAGGGCACAGGGTGGGAAGACATGGGCCATTGAACTGGAGTGGGGTTGTCCATTGAAGGGGGATCTCCCTCCAGGGAGTTGGAACTGGCAATTTTTTCTTCTCCTCCTCCTCTGCTCCCTTCTCTCCCTTACCTGTACCCTAACTAATGCTGCGTAACACTGCTTGCTGTGCCCTTCTTATGGTGACTGCTCAGACCTAATACTTCAGGAGATGCCCTCTGCCCCAACCACTTTATCTCCTCCATTTCCTCCCAGCCTTTATTCCCCAAAAACCTCTCCCTCCATCACCTGCTAGACTGCTCACCTCTATCAGGGATGCCATGGAACAAGAAGCCATGCCTGCTGGGGTGCACAATTCAGAACCCATCCCTGGACTCCCTCATTCCACCAAACGGTTCCTGAAGTGCCTGGGGTAGGAGGCAGCAGTATGCTTGCTAACCGTCCCCTCATCTGGGAAGCTGCCACCTTGCCTCCTGCTGCTCCTTCCCAAGATCTGTGCTGCACCCTGTGGATGTTGGCCAGTGAGGGGGTTATAGGGGATGACCACTACCTCGCTACTCCAGGTCAAATCCTGCTCTCCTTCCTGGCCTCTGGCTGTGTACTTCCAGCCCGGCGGGTGAACCGTCTGCTGTGTTGCTGAAACACATTGACTTCTCAGGGGCAGGAGGGGCTGAATGGGATAACCACATGCCAACTGAGCCTCTGCGACCTGTGCCATGTAAGTGAAAGCCCACTGCCAGGCAGGAGGTGCCTAGCACACCCCAGAGACAGCAGGGAGCCTGGGCAGGCAGCATCCCTGTCTTCCCTCCTCTCTCCCAGCAGCTCGTGCTTTCTATAGGATATCTGAACCACTGTGCTCTCAGGGGTGTTTCACCAGTGGTCTGCCCTGCAGGCCTTGCTCACTAACCCGTAACCACTACTAACCCCACTTTTGTTTGTTTCTCTTTCTTGGTATGTTCCCCTTCTCTTTCTCCCCTCCCCTCTCTGCTTCCTGTCTTTTCCCTCCACCTCCTTCCTTAAAGGTGGGCCAGGCATTCCTAGCGTATCAGCGTTTCCGGCTGGGTGCCGATTCGGCCCTCTTCTCCCAGGACTACATGGACCCAAGCCAGGACTCCGGCATGCCTTATGCTCCCTACACGAACGAGGAGGATGCTACAGATGCGGTGGGGACATACCAGCAGCCCCCTCCAGCAGATGCTTTCGACACCGAGACACAGGGGTACCAGACGCAGAACTACTGAGCCACCGATGCCCCTTTCCCTTCCTCTTTCCCTTCTGCCCCCTTTCCCGCTGCTGGCAGAAAGCCGAGGCACAAACCAGACACGTGCATAGTGGCACAAGAGGTGGCTCTCAGCTATGCTCCAGCCTTCTGGGTCATCTGTTTTTATTTATTGTTTTTAAAAAAGGAAGAAAAAAAAAAGAAAAAAGGTTTCCCCATCACCTCTTCCTTTTCCTCCCGGCCAAAACTACCTGCCAGAACCAAATTCTTCCAAAATCTGCCACCACATTGTTATAGGAAGGTCCCCCCCCTTCCCTCCTCTCCCACCTGCCTCGTTGTGGAGGGAAGGGTCTGGCTGTGGGCAGGAGAGGGGCTACAGCAGCAGCAGAACAAGGGAGGGGACGTTGGAAGCAGAAGAGTAGTGAGAGGGACCTTCCTAGAAGAGATGATGTTGCTAAAGGCTGGAGTAGATGCGGGAGCATCCAAATTGGGCTGCAGGGCTTGGTGGCTCGGGAGAGAGATGGTGTTGGAATCAGAGTGCAGGAATGTGAGGGTGAGGGGGAATGGAAATGGCACCCCCCAATGCAAAGATAGAGGGGCATTTCTCTGACACATGCTAGTGAAGGAGGGGTGCTTTGTTTTGAGAAGTTTTGGGGAGAAGTGGTATGGGGGGGTATACAAAGAGATAAAATGGGAAGGAAGGAAAAAGATTTGCAGGTACAATCAGAAACCACATGCATGTCTGTAGGTTACAGCAAGAGACTCAGCAGAGCAGAGGGGCAGTGCCATGAGAGTCACTCCTTTCCCAGCTCCCTTGAACTGAGGTGGAGGTGATTCCCCTCACCTCTATGTCCTGCTCACAGCTCTTCTCAGACCAGTGTTTGGGGAGGCAGGAGGGGAGTCATGACCAGTCCCTGGCCACCAGACACAGTGCCTGTGGGAGGAAGGATAGAGGAGTTTGGCTTCTAAGGGGCGCTGAGAGTCCTTGTCCCGAACTGGGCTGGTTTGAGGAGGAGAGGAGAGCTTTGACATTTCACTCTGGGCAGGACAAGTAGAAGAAAGCCAGTTTCTCTCTTCACATCCTGCTGTACCCTCCTCCATTCCTCTGCTACCACAGTGCAAAGCCTCTTGCTGACACCATCTTTATAGCACACAGGAATGGAGCAGGATTCCCGCTGGGAAGCAGTACTGCTGCTGGCATGTCTGGCTCTTGCACAAGGGGTGCAACCAGGCAGGGAAGAGTTCTGCCCCACACGGCTGTGCTCTGCCTCCCACTCAGGTGAGGAGGAGATCTTGGTCTGCAGAGGTTTGGCTGGGGACGGAGTCAGCTCTCTGAAAACTGGTCGTCTTAAACTTGCCGTAGTCTTAATGCGTCTTCTGCAGCATCTCAGCTCCTGGCTGTCTTTAAAGCCTCGCCTAGGTGGCAGTAGTGACTCTCAGATAGAGCACATCAGTACACACTCCTCATGATTTTGCTTCAGGTAAGAAGACACAGTTGTGGAAGCACACTCTTTATTCCAAAACAGAAGTAAGCTCTATGTGTGAAGCTGGTCCCTAAAAGGAAGTAATTCAGCAATAGTCACCTGGACAATTCACCCCAGCCCAGACATCTCTCAGAGCACAAGCAGCAAGGTATGCCTTGAAGCAGTGAGGATCATCATCCTCCACGTAGCTACCCTGCACCATGCAACACTGGCCCCAGTAGCAGAGGTTAGGAGCAGATCTAAAACCCATACGTTCTCCCTGTGAGCATCCAGCCTATTCCCTGTAGCACCCTTAGGGGCTGGGAGGATGGGACACAGGTCTGGCCTGTGGCTGTGTGAACATCTCACATCTTACCAGGCTTTCTCTTTTTCCCAGCGTGATTCCTCTCCAGCTGCCCCACAGTCATAGGGAAGGGGTAGAAACTGTAGAGCTGCAGGCCCCAAGAGGGAAAGGGTTCTCTGCTGTATATAGGCACTGTTTCTAGCTGCTTCTAACTGCAGACTCGTGCTGCTGGTGGCTGTCCCTATGGCTTGTCCTCCCTATGGCTTGCACCCCTTTGCTGGTGGTTAACCAGTGGTGAGGATAGGAGAGGGGGACCAGCTAACCCTATGGATGCACCAGGAGGGACTGGGAACGCATCCCTTGCTCTGTGGCTGTCAGCGAAAGCAATACTGTAAATAGGATGGTTATTTTTTTGGAGGGAAGCCCCTTGGGCTTCTTATTTTGTGGGCTCAGCCTAATATTTAGGCTTGGGAGGGGGTTACTTTATGGAGAGAAGTTTGTTAGGACTGGGGGGGCTCCCTCCAGTCCATCTCTCCCACCGGGGGAGAGTAAAGAACGAATGACAAAGGTGGAGGAGGAGAAAAACTAGTTAGACTCACCCAAACTCATCTGTGTAATCCTTCATGTTTTCATTTGGGGGGAGGGAGGGGGGGGAACCAAGAGGAGGAGGCAGCTATAAATACCCAGGCCTCAGCACAAATATATGCTGTACTTTTGGGGAGGAACTGCTCATTGCCTGTCCCCAGTCCTTGGTGAGGGCGTGAGGGACCTGGTGCATGAGGAGACATACAGACCATACATGGGGAATCTAGCTGGGGCTCTGTTTTGGGATGTAGCACAGGATCATTTTACATGTCCTTTCTCCCATCAGAGTTATATAGATGGCTAAACACCATTTGGGTTTGATGACTAATGAGCAAGCTTTTCTTTATCCTCTTTAGCTTGCTTCCCTCATGTAACCAGCTGATGGGCTCCAGTGGGCTTGAGGTAGGAATGAGCCTCCCCCTCAGAGCTGGCACTTCAGTGAGACATGAACCAGGTGGCTTCATCCTGGGTAATTAGCCACTTCTCTGTCCTTTCTTCCTTGCTTTGTGTCGTAGGGAAGGCATTGGTGTGACAGGGGGCACTACAATAATAGATACTTGGGCAACTTCTTGCTCTGGCTCATGGAAGAAGACATACTCTCCTTGGGTTGACATGCTTTCAGCCTTCGCATGGTGGTGACAGACCTGGGGGTGGGACTCTTCTTGTTTGCATGCAGCAATTTAAAATGAAATTTCCTGTGGCATTTGGCTGGTTCTGCAGCTGATGGAGAGATACAGACCTACCCAAAGGGTTGGTTATCTTATCTTAGGCGCTTCTGATAAGGTGCTGCCTATTTCTAATGATCATAGGCAAGACCTAAGGAGCTGGCTGGAACGTGTCCCTTTTAGATCTTAAACGTGGGTGAGCTCAGCCCCACTCTAGGGATTAGCAGATCAGAGGGAAGGCTGTATAAGCAAAACAATATTGTGGCTTTCTTTCCCCTCTGCCATTTGTCCAGATTGCGGATGATTACACATCCCCTGTTGGGAGCAGTGGCCCCCTGATGTCTTCTTATCTTATGAAACCCCCCCAGTAAGGGACTCTTCTGTGAAGGAGAGGCTGTGAAGGGCAAAGGGATGATGAAACCCTGCCCCAGTTCTACCTATGGCTTCAGTCTCCTGACTTATCCCATCCCCGACTCACCCACGTCCCCACCACACTGTTCACCTCATCACGCACCCTTCCCCTCCACATTATTCCTGGCAGTTCCCTCAGGGGAGGAGGCATCTTTGTCCCTGCACCCTCACAAGCACTTGGGAGGACCTGGGAAGGCAGCCTTGTGGGGTGGTTCCCACAGGAGCCTCAGCTCCAGTCCCCAGAGCAGGTACAAGTCAAGGAACCCAGCAAAGCCACCTCATGAAGCAAGTCCAAACCATCCATTCCAGACAAATCCTTGCTGCCTGCATGGCATCCGTAACACCACCTGGGCTGCCCTGGCCCTTCCCCTGCCACATTACTGCCTGTGTATAGTATATATATTATATATATATATATTTAAAAAGATGTATAATATAAAGCTATACATATATACGTATATACGATGACTCATGGATGGCCTGCCGCATACAGGATCCCCTGAGTGGTCTTGTCTAAGCCCAAGTGTCCCTTCACCCCTCCTCCCCTCCGTCCCTGGACCCTGTCCGTTCCGAAAACCAACTACAGTGAACCCCGCCACCTTGGCACCTGTGTTTACAATGTCCTATATATTTGTGGTTAACAAAGTGAAGGTGGTAACTACTGGTGTCTCAATAAAGCTATAACGTTCAAAATAACCAAACTATATGGAAAAAAACATGGTCTGGATTTTCTTTTGGGGGGAGGGATGGCTCTTTTAGCTCTGTTTGCTGTGACAGCATGGCTCCTGTGCTCCTGCATGGCCAGCTGGGAAGTTTAGTGACAATCAGTGGCTTAAATGGAGGAAAAAGACCTAAAGAACTGCCCTTATTGAGACAGATATTTCAGGGGGAGCTAAGGGTTGGTTGTTTTGCTTGGCCTAAGTTTCAAAGCACACACACCGTCAAGTGTCTCTTACCTAACCGGCAGGAAGACATGAGAAGGAGCTTGACATGCCGTATTAGAAGTGGCCTCCCACTGTGAAAGGGATATGGCTACAGGAGGTGTGGGTGGGGGACATATAGGAATATAGAGTACAAACCTATATGAAAACAAACATCTGTATTTCCACACCTGGGCAAGCAGACCTGTTTATTCTTTTGATGTGTCTTTACCTCTATTCCTTTACATATGACCATCACTTGGGTGTCCAGCCTAGCACACACTTGCAAAACATAACCATGTGCTGGGAAACAAGAGCTCTCAGTGCACTGCCAGCAGTTGGTAACTGAAAACCCACCATTGAAAAGGATCTCCTTTCAGCGGGCTCTGCAATCAAAGTAAAACTCAAAATCCCACCCTCTGTCAATGCTTAAGCAAAGCTTCCTTCTCATCCCCTTTCAACTGTCACTCTAGTGCCTGGAGTGTCACATTTCCCAGCCTGTGTGCAGTCTGAAGCCGGGAAGCAGAGGTGCATGCCAGAGAACAGGCTCTATCCAGTCCTCCAAAGTGTCACCCCTCTTGGGGCCATGACTGAGCACGAACACGCTGCAGCTTCACATCAGATTATATGCAAAAGCGTTGATAGACCCATCTGTTTCTTGACTAATCTTTTGTTTGGACAAAGACCCTTCCTACAGCCCCAGTTTTTGGGGTGGGAGCATCGTGGAGATACTGTGCCCACAGAAAGGCACGTATCTGTGTCAGCAACAGGTGGAGTTAAAAACTGGTGAGGCAAGATGTTGAAAAAGGATTTGAGATGAGTAATACTCCAACATTACTAGTTTGTGTCTCCTAATCATCTGAAATCTCTTTAATTTTGCTTGCTGGTATTTCAAGCTTTTATGAGTCATGTTTTGAAGCTTCTCCCAGCAGCTGTGACATCTAGAAACACAATTCTATTATGAACATGTTGGGGGTTTTTGTTTGTTTGTTCTAAAGTTCACAAAATCTCAGGACTCGAGGAGATGAGACTTTGTTTAGTTTATCAAGGAATTCAAGAAAATCTTATGTTTTGGCACAACTAAATCAACCCTATTTCCCTGCCTCGAAAATCCAGCTGGCCTAAAGTTCTGTACAAACTGCTTTGCAGTGATATTTGGCTCATTCTTGGGGGATCAGCACTTCACCGTTCCCCCTTCCCCTGACAGTAGCTCTCCACATTGGCCCTCTAGCTTTCTGGAGGGTGTTGGGGGACTGGGGGAAGGAAGCTGCTGTTTCCAGCTCTCCTTCCAGAATGCCTGTTCTCTATTTCTCTGTCATTCCAGCCTACCTGGAAATAGTGGCCTGCAGAGAGGAGCGAGGAGCATCTGTGCCTGCGGGAAGCACCAGGCTGAAGTTGGTAGAGGCAGCTGGGGAGACCTGGGAGTGAAGCTATGTGAGGGCTTCCAATGCCACCCCCTCCACCATCCCTTTCTGCTATAAGGAGCAGAGCAAGTGCAGCAAATTGGCTCTACTAGAGAGACCCTTCTTTTTTTTCCATATCACCTCCTGCAAGCCTTGCCAAAAATCATGACTTTCCTCTCCAGCCCCAACCTCCGCTATGATCAAAAGGCAGGAAAAAATAAAAATCTCCCTACACATATCTCACATGTGGTCAGTAGAGAGAAAATAAATGAGTGTCAATGCTGGCAATCCTGTATTTGCTTCCCATCATGTATGGTTTCTGAGCACCTAAATGAGCACTGTTCTGGGACTGCCCCATGCTCCGGGCTCCCCACATGTTTTTCATGTCATGTTGTTCATGTTTGATCCCACATCCCAGCAGTGACTGTACTGCTTCCTTTTCTACAGAGAAAATATTAATAAACCCAGGAAGGCAGCAGTACAGCTTGGCACCAGCAATTCTGTGTGTAGAATCCCTAGCACTGGGGACAAAGAAACAGTGAGAAATGATAATTATAAAAAGATAGGGAGGGAGAGAGGGCGAGAATAAGAAATGTGGGAGTTTAACATGAGAGAGGGAGCTGTGGATCTGGTAGTCATTGAATCATATAATTCATTTATTGGTGCATGGATGATGAGGATCAGTGACCAATATCCTGCATTCTTGGGGAGAGTTTGGCTGCATAAGAATACAACACGGTTTATTTCTGAGAGGATTTACAGAAGGTAAGAAGCATAAATAGACCAAAGGATAAAATAAGCTTGATCAATATAACCAATAAAGACTCTGCCAGTGCAGTATTTCATCTTGCAAGTGCTGCGTAAAGCTATGAGCAGATATTCATGAAGCAGCACACCAGCTTCAGTAGCACTTTTCTTCAGAGGGCTGTGAAATGCTGGACAAATACGCATTTAGCACTGCAAGCAGCTGCATTTGGTAAATCTTACTACTCACTTCTTGCAGGCCAAGTAGTTAACTGCCTCGCTCAAGGTTAGGGCAGAAGCCCAGTGACACAACCACAGGAATAACCAGACAGAATCTGGGACAAGTATTTTTACCAAGGAAAGAAACATTTTGCACCAGGTCTGCATTCCAGCTCAAAGGGGCAGGAAAAAAATACACCAGAATGACAAAGATTAGTGACTATGAGCTGAAGCCAGGCATTTAAATTAGGAACAGAGCACATTTTTAACTGCAAGAGGTGAGTAGTCATTGTACAAACAAGGAAAGTGGCAGCTTTCTTATCTTGTATCTTCAGGAACATTGTTTTGCTCTTACACTGAGATCACATTCTGCCCTATCGCACCCACACGCAGATTCTGCACCTGGTAGTCTGAAAAGGACTCACTTAGGGATTTAAGAAGACAGAAATGATTCCTGAATTCCCAGTCCTGCAATGTGATACATGCTGGCAGTCTGTAAGCATACTTGCTGACTTCAGTGGCGCTCTGAGCAAGGACAGGGTCTGCCTCTGCTCATCAAGGTGCATGACTGCAACCTTGAATGTCATTAAAAAGGCATAAGCTTCTGCTGCAATGCTGGAAAACTGTCATCGCGTTTTAAAGCCGACAAACTTGCTTGTTGCTTCTTAATGACATGGACAATGCTGTTCTGCACATACTTCTGCAGCACCAGGAACTCTTCTTGATATTGGTAAGAAAACATGACTTATCAGTAACCTGTCCATACAACTTTTGATTTTATGCAGGCTTGAGTCCCATTCCTGTAATTATTTGTACCCACTCACAGCTTTGCCCACAGGAATCCTCCAAATGACATCGGTGAGACCAAGCTTACACAGAAAGCTGAACACGTGAGAACTTATTTGTAGACTGAGGTTTTACATTTAGCATTTTCTTCTATCTTTGGCCAACATAACCTTTAAAAACATAATTCTGTCTGTGTGCCTAAGTCCACTTGAATGGCTGAATATCTGTAAACCTTGCATGAAGCAGAAGGATCTGTAATCTCTGTATTTTTGGAAGAAAGAGATGTAACAAAGCAATAGAAAAAGGATTTACAGGAAAAGGAGCTGGAATACTCCAGCCAGCAGGATCCCTGGCAGCAGAAACCATTGTTCCATAGAATGAGGTTAATTAACTGGGTAATTTCTGAAGTGCATTTGAATCTAATATATTTACCACAACGATGTCATTAAAAGAGTATCAAGCCACTGCTGGAAGCCCAGACTACTTACAACTCCCACTCTCACCACAACTGCACTGCTACACATGGCTAAAACTGCACGTCTTCTCACACTGCAGCCCTTTCAGCCTTGATCCACACAGGTAAACATGCTCTTCCCCAAGCGCCCCACTGCCAACCATCACTCACTTCAAGATCTGTCACTCACACACTGGTGGGCTCTTCCGCTGACTTATAATGTTAAGAAAGTGGTGGGAATGATTCTTGTGTCTTCCCTCCTGCTCCAGCTGAGCTCATTCAGTTGGAAACTGTTCCTCCTGAAACAGGCTACCATAGCCTAGAAAGGATCTTACAGAAGAGCAAAACCGGTGATCGTTGGCTTTGTCTATATTGTTAAGACAAGCAAAGAAGTGATTGTTGGGCCTGACTCAGGACTACCAAGGACTGCTCCAAACTGTGGTGGGTATTGAGAACCACCTGTCAGCTGTTCTACACACCTTCCCATAGATGGCCTGAGGGTATGGTTCCACTCCATCCTTGTTATGACCTGCAAAAGAGAGTGGGAAGGGTCTGTGGATTGCTTCAGCAGGAGAGAGACTCCAAGCAGAGACAAATGGGTGCCTGTTGTCATGTCTATGGAGCGGCAGTGGGACCGAGAGCTGGTATCTTGATCTTCCCTAGAGGCTGCACAGAACAGCATAGAATCATAGAATAGTCTGGGTTGGAAGGGACCTTCAAAGGTTATCTAGTCCAACCCCCAACATGACATGGTGCTAAGAAAAACACTTCATCAGCAGGCTCCCTCAGGGCGCCCTGGTTCCCAAAGTGACCCCATTTTATAGGACTCTTACAACCCTGACCTTCTTTCCTTCCCCTCCACACACACTTGCCGTGGCGGCCAAAAGGTGCTTCCTTCTCACGTGACTAAAGGCTTTAAGGTAAGAAATGGAGATTTCTAATAATATATTATATAAATGTATATGTAACTACATACACAGCTAATTGTACAATTAGCTAAATACATAGGTGTAAACAGCTTCCCTGCGAGCTGAGAGAGTTGGGGCTGTTCAGAATGGAGAAGGCTCTGGGGAGACCTTAGAGCAGCTCCCAGTGCCTAAAGGGAACAAGAAGAAATCTGGAGGGGCTTTTTACAAGGACATGTAGGGATAGGACCAGGAGGAATGGCTTTAGACTGA